ACTCCCTTCAACCTCGGGTGTGAAGAACACTGGGAAACATTTGCAGGTTCAGTACAGGATCAAAGGGCAGCTGTTGCTGCTGTTGATCAAACTGACAAGAGTCCTGGCGGATGACCCACCAGGCATCCTCTTCAATCAGAGTATAGGAAACGGAGTTGAGCCTAAGCCTACTGTGCGAGCTCCTTGCTCTCATTATTTCAAAGAGATGAGATTCCCCTGCTGTTGCTCTAGCCCAGGGCAGTATCAGCCATAGAAAGTTATATGAATCCCTCCTGTTTCACTAGAGAATTTATCAGGTGACCAAGGAAAATAAAAAGAGCCAAGCAGCCCCCTCACTGCTGGCCCTACAGAAAGGATGCTAGTTTGACCCTAAATCCTGATCCAAGATGAAATTTGTCTTTGACTCATGGGCCCTGCACTTCCTCTCCTATTGTCTGAAAGCCAATTTCAAAGTTGTTTTTGCAGCCCTTTGTGACGTCCCAGTGCAGCTGTGCTGAATTCCACCATGAAACTGAAGAAATAAAAAGGGATTTGAATCGGAGACAACATGAAAAACCTTCAGAAGAGATTTCCTTCTCCAGAGGGTCTGTAGACAGAGAGGTGCAGAGGTGGACCGTCATGGCGGATCCACACTGGAGAAGTTGCCACTGCAGCTCCGTTGGGGACAGCGCAGCCACACTGAATTGCCTCACATAAGAATATTAATTAAACTCCTTAAATCTCACTGGACCACATACGGCACTCTGCTCTCCACTTTCTTTCAATCTTTACACAGACAAATCTCTTATTTAAGTTGGGAGAATCTGCCTGTTTGCAGTGTGAATAAACACAGGATTTAGACGTGACCTTTCATTTTTACAGACCAATATTGAGTCCATTCTTGTGCTGAAGTAAGTGCCTTTGCACATGTCACTCACTCACACTTGGTTTCTGACTCATTGCTAACTGCTCTTGGGGGCTGGTGGGCAGCACATACCTTCACACTTGGCCCTTCCAGTTAATTGCACAGTGCTTTGCTTTAAAATCGGATTTATTTTTCTAAGCTACTGCATTCTTGCTGTGCAGGGTAAAGCCAAGGATGTTTGGGGTTGGATCAATCTGAGAGCTCCAGTTTCAGCATACACCAGTGCTTTCACAGTAAGTCCAACTAAATCCTGACCTACCCAAGCACTCCCAGAGGATCGCTCAGAGCTGCTGCCCTTAATCACAGGCACCTCCTGTTTCTTAATCACAGCAAAAATTGTCAGGAGATGTGTAAGAGGCATTGTGTTTCTTCAGATAAGAAACACTCCCTTCATCCCGTTCTCAGTCTGTACTGTCTCCGTTCACACAGATGGTGGAGACCACCCCACCCTTCCAGTCCATCTGTATGATACATTTCATAGCACTCTGTGCATAGGGACAAGCCTTCAGCTCTCTCTCTGAGAACCCCGGCCTCCTCATGAGGCCTCTGTGTTAAGAGGATTTCCACTATGTGCAACTCCTGTCCTGTTCTTTATCCCACCAGTCCAGCTTCCACACAGTGTCTAACCCTTCTGTCCTGCCACTGCTCAGCTTTCAGTGGCTGGAGCAATATCACAGCGACACACTGTAGCTTGACCTTTTGTGTTGTGTTCTCATGAACTCAGGAAGGGAATTTGGAAGGGAAGACTTCTGAAGTCTTCCACAAGACCAAGTGGGATGGATCTGAACATTCCCTTGCACGAACTGGCAGACACCGCTTTTCACAATGCAGCATCATGTTTCTGAAAAGCTGGTTTGCGAATATTCAGGAGTCTTGCTTCATATCAGGAAGGCCAACTTTCTGCAACTGCCAGAATGATGTTACACTCCACACACAATAGCTTTTCTCAGCTCTCCACTTCTTCCTTTTCAAACATCCTGTAGACTTTGCACCATAAAGGAAAGATAATCACAAACTACTCAGGGCAACACACCTACTTCTGACTGTATGTTCCGACTTCCCTATTCTCACTGAGCCTAAACAAGGACAAAGCATTTTTGTACCTTTGATCTATGCCAACATAGAAGAAACTCTCTTTTTAGTGAAAGGCTCAAACCTGTACACCAGCTGTGACATACGGCCTGTGAATAAGGCAATCCACTATACCTCTGTTTGCATTTCCCTTTCTTTTCCTTGTTGGTCTTTCTCAACAACTGCTTCACCCTGAAGAAACATTTACCCTTTGTTACAAGAACCTGTTCTATAGGTTTTACAGCTAACAAGGCCTTAAAGTACTGAGTAAAGCGAACCTTACCCCTGTGGCTTACACTGTCTAAAACACTTTCTAAGCTTTGTTATAGTGCTGTGTTTCTTTCCAGTTTCTGCCTTATGTCCTCTTTATCTGGCTGAAATAACCGTATAGCGCAAACTTCCTGGGACAAGAGGACAATCCTGCCTTGGGACAAGACTCTCATGCACTCAGACTAGGATTGATCTCCCCATTGTGGGACCAAGAGCTGAATGACAGCCGTTCTCCTCCTGGCCCCTATAAAGCAGACTCCAATCACCTGTGCAGCTGTCCATGCAGACAGATTCTCCTGGCCTGAAGAAATGAGTATCACAATGAAGCATAGACAATCTGAACTCTTCTGTTGTCCCCTTATGCACAGGTCAAATTAAATAGATATGGGTGAGAAGATGCCTTGGGCAGGGAGGACTGCAGCTGCAGGACACAGAAATTACTCTGCCCAGAAGATGCCAGCACACTGAGAGCCAACTGACCCTAACAGCAGTTGTGCCTCTGCAGCCAAGGGCAGGGTATGGCGTCTGCATAGCTTCAGTCCCACTGGATCATACCCTAGTGCTTTGCAGTGCAACCTCACAGTGTTTGGACAAATCTGAAAGTGAGGAAGGGGCCCAGATTTCTCCGTTCCAGCAGACTACCAGACTAGTAGAGCTAACTTTCAGGAGTTTCATGGTATGTTGATGGGGAGAGGGAAGGAGGATCTCCCTTTTGGACATTTCCAGATGTATCCAGCAACCTATAGCATGCAATCTGAAGTAATGTTAAGCAAGGTTAGTTCCTTTTCATACACCATGGTAACAGAGATTTAATAAATACGACCTAATTTATCAGGGCTTTTTGGAAAAAAGCAGCCCAGGACATGATGTCCAGGTCTGTACAGTTTGGGCAGTGCTTGCATCATCACTTAAGGACAGTTCTTTAGTATCCCACCACTCTGGCAGCACCTCAAGACTTGGCTTTTTCTAGACAGTTTTCTAGAATTTCCAAAGCTTGATTTACACTGGGCTCCAGAAATCATGAGCCATAACTGACTAACATGAGGGACTGGTTAACAGAAATTCACTGCTGAGTTTTAACAGATTATACTGAGCTGGCTGTTTGGCTGCCTGCACTTTCACACCTAACCAACAGACTTTTGTTCTCAGTGCTCAGAGCTCTCAGTGCCCTCTTCTTGACTTTGGTTATTTGCAAATCCTTGGGCAGGAAGCAGTGACATGCAAAATCTCTTTGGGTGGTTGCTTGCTCTCTCTCTGTGAGATCAGATCTGTGAGATCTCTCTCTCTCTCTCCCCGCAATCATTGTGCCTCTGCCTCCTGCTTCACTGTCCCACTTCTGCACATACTCTGCATTGCAACATCCAGCATCCAATGAAGGAACATAAATCCATGCATACTGGCAATGCCAATTCCCTTATTGTACTGGCAGATTCTGTGCTAATCAAATGCACTTTCTAAGTCTCAAATCACCTGGCCTGATAGGTATTGGAGGTGAACAGCCCTTTACATGTATTACCTACAATGCATTTAATATTCAGTACATGTGCAGCAGCTCCATACCTAGGAAGTCTCTAACCTGTGTAGGATAGTTCATGGATGAAAGGTGACCACCGCAAACCATCCAGTTCACTTTGACAACAGACCAGCTACAATAAGACCTATAGTCAAAGCTGGTAGCAAGTGAGAATTTCTACCTCATGAAAAATTAAAATGTTCTGAAATTTTGGATGTTCCAGTTCTGAAATCTCCTAAAAAACATTTCTGATGGTCCTAAAACAAAATATGATTCAAAGGCGCTCCTGAGTAAAAGTGAAGGATGAGTTTCACCATTGGAATTCAGAGATGCACAGGAAAAAAATTCCCAATATACATTTCAATATCAGTTGGCAGCTGCAAAGGCTTCAAAAGAATGTAACTTCAGGATAGCCTCAGCGAAGAGATTACCTTACAGCCAAGAAGCACAGGCCTACCAGCTGAGCTGGCTCTCCTGCATGCACAGCTTCAGCAAATGGTCCCCAAGTCTCATTCGCCCAAACAGCAGCCTGGCATCAGGGCTTGGCAGACCTGGGTCACAGCCAGGCTATGTAATGGTGCTCCTTGGAATCACGAATTTCATGGCACAGTGTGAACCCAAGTAGGCTGTTAAGGAGCTGGAAATAAAAGCTGGCAGGAAGCCATGAAGGCCAGATTCAAAACCTTCCTGCCAGAGAGGATTTCACTGCAAGAGCTGAGGAACTGACACATTTCCTTTCATGTTTTACTTTAAATGGAGCCACATTTTCAACAGAAAATTTCCATCCAGGTTCCGTTTTTGAAAGACCTTGGATCCTGATCCTGCAAACACTCTGACTCACATAATTTTCTGGAAAGTTACTGTGTTACGCTCCTCCAGAATTAGATCTCTTTCAATTGCCCATTTGCAGGGCTGACTGCAAAGATGGATCTCCCTGTGCCTGAGTCAGTAATGAAGCATCTCCCTGATGTGCCCTCTGGCAGAGTTCCCGTTGTCTTGCCACAAGATACAGCAACATGCATAGTCCAGGTCTTTCTGTGAAGCCCAGGGAATTAAATCTTCTTCATAAAGCGTAGACTTAAGCCCTTTGTTTGCAGAGTCATAGCTAGCATGTACTGATGTGAACCAGTTGAAACAACAAAATGAACATGAAGGGAAATATCCTCACAGGGTGAAGACATGAAGCAGATGTGACACATCTGTGATTACAACTGCATTAAACAATATATGCTGATTACTTACAGCATATTCAAACTGTAGATTGAAGTCCCGATTGTTTGCTTGAAGTTGTCTCTCTTGCTCTGTAGAGAAGAAGAAATACGTCAGACTTCTGCAGAGGAAGAGCTGGTACATGCTTGAAGATAAGCAGAATCCTCACAGACGCGAATGAAGCAGCAGCAGAAGAAAGAAGATCTGCTAAGAGGTGCTATCATGCAAAATCTGTGCTCTGTGCTAAATGCCCCATGCTGGCAGCACTGACAGGGCAGCACTGTGAACTGGTACCATAGTAATGTGAGCCCGTACTCCAACTCGCCCTCACACACACTTCGCTGCAATGCCAGCACCGCTTTAGCAGGTCGTTTGCTTGTCCTATTAGTCCTCCTGGGTAAGAATTACCATTTAACTAGTGGTCCTCGAAATCCCTGCCCTGTTCCGCCTCTTCCCTTGAAGTGTCTCTAATGCCATGAACCGACTGTTAGTGCCCTTCAGCCAATACAAATGCATGTCCTAGCATCATCCCACAGACAGGACATCACCACCACAACAGTCACAAAATCCAAGACCACTGGAAGGGACTTCAGGAGGTCATCAAATATATCCTCTACCTCAAGGCAGGGTCATGCCTGTCAGTCTCAATAAATGTCCTAGAAAGCTCCAGCGAGGGCTAATCTTCTGACTGTCTATTCCAGGACTGCAGTGTCCTTACAGGCGGGGAAACTTTCCCATTCTCTAACATAAAACTCATTATTGAATTTAAACAAATTGTATCTTGACCTAGGATGGTCAAAAGTTCTCTTCTGCTCTCCCTTAGATTGCAGTTCCTTGCACTACTTGCCAAGGACACAAAGCACAAATGAATTTATTACATATTTGAAGGCTGTTATGCCTTACTCTAGTCTTCTCTTGCCTAGGCTAAACAACTCCAGTTTGTTCAGTTGCTTCTTATGGATCAGTCGGTCAGAACCGTCATCACTCTTGGTACTCTCCGGAGGGCTTCCCAGTTAGTTTACCTCATTCTGGAAGCACAGTACCCAAAATGGGTTTTGGTTAGCAGCTGAAGCCTTATCAAAGCTGACCAGAGCACAAAGGATACTCCATCTATCTTGCAGACAATAGGTATTTGACTTGGAATTCACCTATGAATAATTTAAAATAATATCCTTTTGCACCATCAGGACTCAGCTGACAGAATATGATCTGTTATATACTCAGATTCTTTTTGGTAGAGCTAATGCCTCATCAGGATATGCAAATCTTACATTTGCCCTTACTGAACTGCACTCAAATTTTTTCAGACTATTTCTCCAATTAGCCAATTCTAATCCTATTTTTCAGTGTGCTTGCAGTTCCTGCCGGGTGGTGCCAATGGTGGTGCAGATTTAGTAAATGTGTTCTTTATTCTGCAAGCAAAGTTGGAAGAGAAAATATTGAATATCAGATCTAGGATACATCCCTGATGAATCCCATGAGTTTGATAATGAATCATCAATACCTATTGTCAGTGTATTTTTTCCCGAAAAGTGTAGCACTCACTCTGTGGTGATTTTATCTTGAGCATGTCTCTCTATGTCAGCCAAGATACATGACAGCTGTTTATGGCTTTTTCCCCCCCCCTCAGGCCTGCCACTAATACGGAATTAATTTTGGCTTAATGGAGTTTTTCTGAACTTCTGACTGTTAATCATCTCTTCCCTCCCCAACTACTCTGAAGTGGTTTGCCTGACTGTTTCAACATTTAGGCCAAGAAGCAAAGCCAATACATCTATAATTGCACAGCTTTTCTTTTTCCCCTGTTTCAAGATACATGTCCTAGAAAGCTCTTTTGCTCTTTTCCTAGTCTTCTGAACTTTGCCTGTCTCTGCTCCAAAAACTCCCAAAGACAATATTGCTCCAGGCAATTCTCTCAGTACACAATCAGCTTCACCCAGTTAAATGGACAGAAAACATCTGTCCTACCTAAATGACCTATTTCTTCTCTACTTCAGTTCAAAATCTCCCTCCCCCTCCATTGCTGGCAAGAAATGAGTTTAAAAAACAAAAAAAACAAAAAAAACCCAGCCATTATTTGCTGAGCTTCTTTCACTGAGTATCAGACATAAACCTTCATTGATCTGCCGCTTACTAGAAGGGTTACAGAACCCTAGAGAACCCAACGCTTACAGAGGAACTGTTATTGTCCTCTATGCCCTTGATAGCTTTTTATCACTTTGTGCCTTTCCCACACAGTTTGTCCTGGATAAAACAGCCTGCTATGCACCTTCTGTAGGCATCCTTCTTCTGTGTGAGGTGAATGAAGAGCTTGTGATTTAGCCGCTTTATTCATTCTCCAGAACCTTTCTCTGCAACATGATAGCTTAGACTTATGCCCTTAATATAATTTATTTAATGAAATGACAGTTCTGCTTAATTCCCTCCCCCGCCCTAGATTTCCTTCCCATGAGATATTAGTTACCAGTTCTCCATATTTACTGAAGATTTCCGTCTTGAAGTCCATTTTAAACACTTCACCGATGTCACTTTTTCCTCTCCTAAGTATCATACTATGATTTCATCTCTCTAGCTCCAAAAAATTGTCCCCCTCTGTATTGAAGGGCTGTACCAAACTCACTCCAAGAACACGCTGAACAGATCATGTTCCCCTACGCTCCTTTCCAATCGTATGTCTGCCCAGTTAGAATTCTGCCCGTTACCACTGTGCTCTGTATTTCAGATAACCATACTAACTGTTCACAAAAGACTGTCCTTCCTGGTTTGCTATGTCTGTGTTCTTTACCCTTGTATTACTGCCCAGACGTTTGCTGTTTTGTTCATCTCTTTTTATACACTGGATATCAAAGCACACGAACATACAAGGAAAACATCTCTTCCCTTTCCAGAATAAGCTCTATTATTTTATATTAATGTACTAGCCTCATGAATTAGCCCATCATGTCTGTTTTACCTATTAAATGATTTATTAAGACATCTAGTTCTTCCTGTTTATCCACTCTTGCATTAGCTAACCTCTAAGCTATTGAACTGCTATCCTTCCTCCTTTCCCTCCAGTAGCCCTGTAAGTAACACTGCATCCCTAATGTTTAAGCCCTTTTCCAGATCACGTTTTTTTTAATGTCTGTCTATAAGCTGTTGTCATCAGGCCCTCTAATTGCTTACTTAAAACCCTCTTTACTGTGTTAGCAGGTGAATGTTCTTTCCCTTTTTTTCAGGCATATCTAGTCAGACATTTTTAAATCAATTCTCATCTGCTTCTGGCTGGGTGATTCAGACCAGCACAGAGGCTTCATTCAGGACCCTCAGAGTGCTTAATTTCTTTACTGCTTTCCTCCGACACATTTTTCTCATCTTTTACAATGGGGAAAACAAAGTACAGAGAGATCAGGGAACTTGTCCAGTGTCTGAAAGGAAAACAGAAGCAGAGCTCAGGAGGTCCAGGCCTGTAGAGCTTTAACTATTGTGTTATGTGCCCCTTCAGGAATTTTCTTGAGAGTAACCGGCATTATCAAAGTAGATGACAGATACAGTTATTTGTTAAAAACCGAACTTCCCTATGCTCACAGATTTCCTTCTATACAGAAAGTGCTACTCCGTCCAGTTCCTTCCCCAGGGACTCCAAGTCTAGTCCCAGCATAAAAATCCACAAAAACAATAAATGGCTTTAAAGAAAATAGGATTTGATGTCAAAACTTTGAAAATCTATCAGCCTGTAGAAATGCAGTAGCAGAGCTTGTGGTAGGCTGGGGAACAGCGAGTCAACTCTGCTCTCGGCTGTCGAAGAGCAGAGACAGAAGTGTTCAAACATGCCACGTGCTTACACAGAGGAGCTCAGACAAGTGAAGCTGCTGAGCTTTTTCAGGCTGCTGCCCAGCATCATGCAATCCCTCTGTACAACTAGGTAAGAAGCACCTGAATGGTGCACCAGCACCAGCATGGTATCAAGAGCAGGATTTCTATGACAACCCATTCCTGAAGGCCCCACATAGCCATGAACCTGGGTTCAAAACTGACTGGAAATTCTCTGGCCTGCCCTAGGAAATCCATCCTGAACACCAGGACTCTTCCCTTTCTGGAGACCTGAGCTCTTAATGGTCTTCAGCCTTCGAGAGGTGGCACTCCCAAAGGCCAAGATCTGAGGCCACTTTCAAATGACAAGATATTCATTATCCTTACTCTAAATAACCAATACCTTTGTTAAAGCAACAACAGCCACAACAAATTGCAAAGGATGCCTCATCCAGCAAGGTCAGCAAGCAAAACTCTCTCTCCTCTAGCTACACTAAAGGAGAACCACCACTGACCACACACACAGGGCAGCACTGTCTCAGTGGTTTTATTTTTACCAACAGAGAACAGTCAGGCCCTCCTGCTGTGCTTCCTAAACAAGCAGTTCTCAAACTAAGATAGAGTAGACATCTCTTTTATTTGTTTCTGTAGCAGTTTGGACAGAAACGAAGCCTCTTGGATAATCGTTATAAACAAAGAGCTAGAGAAACTCTACCATTACCTCAGCTATGCCTGGAAACCACAGCTCAGAATATTTTGGCTGTAGATCTAAGCGCACATGTCTTATCATGCACTGTTAATTCTGGACGCATTGAAGAAAAAGGGAGGGGAAAACTGAAGGGCTAGCAGATGAGAGTTTGCTCATTTCTTGAAACATTTTTACCTCTAAGCAACTCCTATTAAACCTTCTGCTTCTGCAAACTGTGGTCACAAATCACTGGAAAGAAGGAATGGGATTTGTGCTCCAAGTTATCATTTCACTGCCACTGAAAACTATTTTAAATTATTCATCAGTGGAAACTCAGCATATACAAATATGGCCTAGTGCCCAGTTCTTGGTCTAACCACTGAGACCAAGTCACTGGGAAACTGGCTGTTTTCTCAGGCAGACAGATTTAGGAGCTAAACCACAGAATAACATCTGGATTGAATAATGTTAAATCCATGCCAAAAATCAGCTATAAATGTAACTGGTCAGCCCACCAGGCTTCTGCATTTAGGGCTGTTGCATGGAAAAGTCCTGCAAAAGGTTAGATTCAAGATCTGGTCAGAGATCCTGGAAATTTGCTTCTGGTTTATT